TGTGCAGGATGTAAATCTGCCACTTCTTTTGTAACCCTTTGCTGCTTTGCCTCCACTGCACTTGCTGTGCTGCTTAGATCTTACTGACATTGCCCTGAAGAGAAGGGGGATGTTAAGATTAGCCTGATGAGCTGGGCAGCAAAAGCACAGCAGTGATAGCTGGCCCCACCAGGGACAAGCAGAAGCAATCAAGTGGGCTTAAATCCCTTGATTCCTACTTGCAGAATATTTGCCATACTTTGTTCTCTTTGTAATGAACTGAAATCATAATTGCTGTGAACGTGTCAGGAAAGCAGGTTAGAGAATCTTTTAGCAATACAGTTGCAGGGCCATAAGTTTCTTTGGCTGATTTTTATCTTTTTTTTAATCATCATTTGTTAGAAAAAGTATATGCTTTCAACTTATTTTTTCATTACTGACATATCAAATTTGCATTTTGTTAAGCAATACGAGGATTCTCTCCGCAACATAAAATCTGCAGTTTTGAAGAAGCAAAAGGTTTGGATAGGATCAATGAGAGAATGCCACCAAGAAAAGATACTCTTCAGCAAGATGGTATTAATACCATAAACACAGCCAATGCCAATGGAAACAATGGAACTGGCAACAACAATGCACAGTGACCACATCAGCTTCTGGTTTACTCACTCATGTCCTGCCTGAGAATTCCTAGATTACTGCTTTTTGATGTGACAACAAATGAAATAGGGGGATCACTTCAAGTGATTACTTACCACGAGGTGGAAAACCATCTGACTTGATTGATCCCACTGAAAGAGATCATCATGCTTTTGAGACAACAGCCCCTCTGTTACACGGTGACCCAGCCTGCTGGGAGCGTGTGCCTCACCCTTTTCACACCAACGTCCATCACTGGCTGCTGCAGCTTTGGAAGAGATCTAGGGAAAGGATTGGACTGTTCTCACTAAAGCACACCTAGACTAGCATCTTATGCTTACGTTGTCAACACTTTTAAGTTTACAAATGGGATTTTTCTTTCAGTAGAGGCAGTTTGTTTGTTTGTTTGTTTGTTTGTTTGTTTTTTAAAATCAGACATTCAGATACAACCCTAAGAGCTAACTATTTATTAATGGACATTGGTTTCATGATATGTCTTTAAAATTATAGATTAGAATGGTCTTAAAATATCTGAGGCTGCAAAAAACTGTATTTTAAATAACAGAAAAAATGCCAAAAAATTTCAGTTGGTCATTCTGTAAAATGCTGACCTCAGGTTTACTCCTTTAGATGTTGCTAATTCTATATTGTATTCACTGTATTTTTTAGTTACAGCTTATCAGAAGATTTCTATGTAGGAATGTTTATTACTTGAACACAGATTTAAAAAAAAAATATTTAATTTAGAAACTTTTTTGCCCAGCTTTTTCAAGACTTTTCCCCACCTTGAATTTAAATAAAAAATTATATATACTAATTTTAAAAGTAAGAAAAATATGGAAGTATTAATTTTAAGGTACTTTTAATTGAACTTTGTACATTGTTTAAGTAAATTTTGATTCATATCAAGTCTGTAAAGCTTGGCATTGTATTTTGTGTATGCATGTTTTCATTTTGCAAATATTTAATATATAGACCTATGATGTACATCTATAGGTTACCTAGATGTTATGGGTACTTTTAGTTTATCGTGAGTATTACGGTTGCATAAATAGCTAATAATCACTGGGCTGAATAGCTGCAAGCTTTTTATTATTTTTCAATCTGTAAAGGAAACTGAACCTGTATTGGACATACTTTTTGTTTAAGCAAAGCAGCGCGTAAGCAATTGCTCTGTTCAACTGCTAAGGCATTAGTGAAAGTGTAAACTTGAGACTGCATGTATTTTGGTATCTACAGGACTGCTTGGTTAAAATAAAAGTTGAAGCCCTGTGCTAATTTGTTCACAAATAATGGACTGTACTGATTGCCAGTGTACTTTGTTATATATTTTGACATTTGCTACATGTCCTTCTCATCCCCTGGAACACGACTTGAAACTTATGTCACTAGACTTCATCTCTCTTTTTTTTGGTTTTGTTTTTGTTTTGTTTTTTTAGGTTTGGTTGTTTTTTTCTTGGTTTATTTGCCATAACCTACAATCTGTACATACCCCTAAGTTGGAAATTTTATGCATGTTCTGAACTATTCAAGTATTTTATAAACGGTAGCACACAATAAATTTTGTGCATGGGCTGCGGCTCCTATCACTGTGTATTGGTTTTATTTGGCATACATAGGTCTAATCTGACCTCGCAAATTGTTTAGAAATAGTCTTCAATATTTAAGCCATTCAAAAAAATAGCATAAAAGGTCAGATTTAGCTTGCAGAGAACAAATTGAATGTAAATACTAAGTAATTTAAATTTTATTCCTGCTGCCTTTTTTTTGCTTTTGAGTTCTCTCTCAGAAATATTTTGTGTGTGGTAAACCAGACATTCACTTTTGGTTTGTATAGGCTTGTCAGACCAGGGTTAGTGGATTCTAGAAAAGACTCTTATGCATAGCTGTGTTTCATATGTTGGTTTGAACTAAACATTCGACTACTGAAGTGTTTTGGGGCTGCTTTTTTGTGCAGAGGGAGAAAATCGTTTGTTTTGGCACTCTGTACAGACACACGGATTAGCCTTTTGGCATATTCTTTTTAAACTAAGGACCAACTGCTGAACAGGATGAGAATTAAGATAAGTGACACGCTGTTGGTAAGGGGAGTTTTAATATTCAATTTTACTTTATTGCAGATGCATTTTAATTGGAAATTCTTCTAAGAGTTTAAGTCCAGAAGATCAAGTTAAAAATGGTAAGTTTTTTGGCTTTTTTTATGAAGCACTCTCATCCCTGCGAGCTGTACAATCTGCGTGCAGTGTCATTAGAGCAGGACAAAAACCTATTATGAAGTACAGCTGAAATTTATGATGAACATGGTGATGGTACCTTTCTCCTTTAAGTGCTAATGGAAAATGTCACCTCACAAGAAAATATTTGTCCTGATTTGATACTCAGATCTTGGTTGTTATGAGGATTTCGAGTAGCTGGAATTGTGCATATGAAGAAAATACAGATAGAATCTGTGTGGAAAGACCTCACTGTAATTGGAGAGAAGTGGTTCTGATACTTGCAGGCAGTAAGTGCCCAGCAGCAAGGATGTTCACTTCTGTGAGGATTCCCTTGCAGTGTCTGTTCTGCTGCTGTGAGGACTCCCTTGCATTATCCCTTGTCTGTAGTTTTTGCCAGATATGAAGGCAGATCTGCAGTAAAGGAAAATACACTGGGTAGTGTCTTTGGCCTGATTTCTCATGCTGTTTCTCCTGTCACCCTTTAGGCAAGTAGTCAGGTAACAGGGTTATGTCTGGGGGTGTTCCTCTGTAAAGTAGGCACTCATTTTTTGCTACTGTGTTTCTGTAAGGTGGAGTCTGGAGCTGTCTCTAATTCTTATATTGTTTGGGAGAAGAAATTATTTCCTTACTCCCAGAAAACTGTAAGTAGTTTACATTACTTGTTTTATGCTTTCAGCATTTTAAGGAGGGGAAGAAAAAAAGAAGTCACCTGTATGTCCTTAGTCTGTTCTTGGGTAGGGAGGGGAGAAAGCTTGGCTTTGACAGCCAAAGGAGACAGGAAGCAAAAGCTGTGAGAGGTTTGGCAGGTTCCTGGTTTGAGCTGGAGTGGTCAGTGCCTCCCTGCCCTGCTCTGGGTTCAGCAGACGTGTGTGTGCCACTTCTTCCCTGAGCTGAGGGGTGGGACCATCATCTGTGCTGTGCTTACCTGGAGGGCACCATCAGCGAAGATTCAGAGGTGGGCTGGGGTCTCTGACTGCCCCAAGGAGTGTAGCTGTGTGTTGGTGGAACTGAGAAGCAGAAGTACAGGCCGAGCTGGGTCAGGTTTTGGGGAGTTGTTTACCAGCAGGGCTTTGTGCTGTCAGGGAATGTGCTGCCAGTTGCTGAGCCAAAGAGAGATAAGCAGCCTAGTTCACAACCTACCTGTATCCACTTCAATGAAAAACACCTTCACCTCCCAAAATTATAATATGAAAACAGCTTTCCTTTCAAAACTTACTAAATTCAATAGTGAAATGGAAAAATTGCTCTAGTCTTATGACTTGAATTGTGAAGATTGGCCTTTGCAAAAAGCCAGAGGGTTGGGATTGAGGCTGTTTTTCTCTTGGAAAGGGAGGTCTCTTCTGGTGCGAGTCTGAATGCTTTTGGAGGGAAGACTCTCATAACAGCTTGCTTTTTTTCTGAGGTTTAATATGAAAGCACTATTATGTAAGTTAGGCAGAAAAAGAAAGCTTTTTCAGAGGCAGGATAAACAGTATCTGTTCAGTCTTTCTTGCCTATTTTTATGTAATTTCATTGTCAATCATTCCGTTATTGCTACCCATTTAACAATTCTTTGTTGCTAAGCATGTCATGAAAGTATTTTTGCCATAAAACAGGTAAATGTTTTACATTCATACAGAATAGAACATAGAAACCTATTTAATCTGTTAGTTTTCTTGTGATAGTATGTATGAGCCAGATTTAATCAAGATTTTGCTATGAATGACAAGTGAATTGGTTGGGATTTTCAGTCACATTAAAAGATACATATGCACGAATATGCTTTACTTACTAAGTGTTAAGGTCCTTCACTTGTAAGGAAGTTTGTTCAAGAACAAATAAAGGAGAGCCAAAGCTTATAGAATCTTGGTCAAGCTTGGAAAGCTCCTGACAGTTAGATACCTATATACACACATGTATATCTATCTCAGTGGATACCTGCACAAAAGATGACCAAAGTAATGCAGAGTAAAATGTCTTCTAGTCTCTCCAAAACGAACTGTGTTTCTCAGTATCAGAAGAAGTTTATAGTCTAAGTCACATATAGTAAGCTCAGCAGTTTAGCTATTTCAGGAAAGTTGTTGAGTGCTGGAGATTCAGTTGGCTGGAACAGTTGATTCCCACAGAGAAGCATCCATGAATCCAGTAGAGGGAAAGTGGTTTTGTCTGGGTCAAAAAGACTAAGGCTTAGGGTCTAATAGACAAGATATATCTTTTATTATACAATAAAGAATATTATGTGCTGTAAATTAAGGCATTGTAAGTGCAAAAAGCTTACTGAATCATCAAGAAGGCGTATTTGATTATGCAACCTTTAAAATTATTCTTTTACAAGGATAGTTAGTATCTGCTTAAAGCACGTTTCATGTCCTTCAGTTTGTTTAAAAAAAACCAACAAACCAAAAAACCAGAAAATCCTCTTCTATTGCCCAACAATTGCCAGCAGCAACTTCCGGTAATCACCACTTGTATCACTTGCTATCATTGTAGCCAGTGTCTTCTGATACATCTGTGTGAACATCTGTTTAATTTGCACAAGGTCAATCTATGCAAAGACAAAAAAAAAGCAGAAAACTCAACCATAGTGTATGATTTAAATCCTAGATAGTCAGCCCACATCTCCTCCCTTGTGAACTAGAGAGCACATGCCAAGGGTGAGATATGCAATGATTAACTCTGTGCAGTCAACGAGCCAGCTGGTCCCTCCAAGGATAGAGGAGCAGCTCCCAAAGCAGAGTGCAGCAGTTGTTCCATGTTTTGTTAAGACTGTGCTGTGCTAACTCTCAACAGGTGAACTTCTCACCTGGAAGTGCTCAGTTACTGCTAAGCAGACTGGCAGTAACAGTTAAAAAGGAAAGCAAACAGTTACTACTATCTAGACAGAGTTAATTAAATTACTGTGTGAAAGTTGGCTTTAAAACTAATTAACACATTAAGCCCCATGAAAGCTTTATGCAGTACATGATTTTACACCTGTGAAAGGAGGACTGAGTGACAAACTGGTTTGGGTAGATGGCTTTCTGCTGCACGTGACTGGTACACAGAAAAAAATTTCTTACCTCACTGCGAGTGACTACAATTCTGATGAGGGTAGAATCATCTGTGCCATCTCCTTTCATAGAATAATAAAGTCTTTCTGCAAAAAAGGCTGGGCGATTTAAAGCACATTGCACTGCAATAAAATATATTGTTAGGATTAGTTCCAGTAATGTATGCTGTATAGTGATACTTGGCAGGATTTTTGCTGTACACAGAGGTTGTTCTTAATGAAGATCCAGTTACTGTGAATAATGGGACCTGTTTATAGAGCTAAGCTTATTTTCAAGTTGACTAAGTAAGTTATTCCTTCACACAAAAACTCATGGTTAGTAGCTTAGTAGCAGTTAACTTCTTTGGAAGTGCTTTTCAAAACTCTGAAATATTAATTCTCAAACAGGTAATTTAAAAAACAGTTCTTCTCCATGGATAGCTGGTATTGGGACACAAGGTATTTTACTCATATTCCATTGCTAGAATCTCACTAAGAAAAGCACCAATGCAGAAGGTTCTCTATAGTTCTGTAACTCTTGTAGTTACAGAATAGATCTTGTTTCAGGTAGATTATTCACACTCAGAGACAAGGCATTATTCTTCTACCTGATTCTCAGACCTGAATTTTTCCTATTAAACTCTTGAGTACAATATACTCTGGGAAGTTTCTTATCCATTATGGCTACAGGATTGCTGTCATTTGGGCAAGCACTGATGTCTCCAGATTTACTACTAAATATTACTGATTTTCACTATCAGTTAATTATGCTGAATTGTGTTGAACTACTTTGTTATAAAGAGTCAGTAGGAAAAAGTGAATTCAAAACAACATCTTCTATTTTGCTAAGCTTGTCCTTAGCCACAGCTGAGCTTTCTGGGGTGGGGAAGGGGGTGGAAAGGGAACTGTGCCTTCAGTAGGTTCATGCTGGCTCTGAGGTTATCTGTGTGGGTGGCTCAGCTGTCTCTGCTGAAAAGCTGCACACACAGTCATGGCTCTGTGACACTGGTACCCCCTTTTACAGAACTCTGAATTATACAGCTACAAACACTAACCAGTGACCCTTGTTCTGTGTACTTGCCTGCCTTCCCAGAGAAGTGACAAGTAGTTTCTATGTGACTTTTTCTTATTTGAAATTGACTTCTTCATGACGGATGCTTATTTTCTTCATTTAAGTGCAACATGAATCATGTGAATAATTGAAGCTACTTTATTCTAGAAGAGTCTCTAATTATGTCATCATTTGCCATATGGCCAGTGCTGAATTGGATTTTTCTTTGGTTACATTTAGGTTTAATTCCTAAAGGATAAGGGGGGAGGGAAGAACATATAACTTACCAATAGTCTTCAAACCACGTTCCACATTTCCAGAAAATTCTCGGTCAATGCTGCTTAATAAATCACGATTAGCAATCTACAAATAAATGAGATTAATATGTGGATGATGAAATGCAGTAGCAACTGGAACCTTAACTTAAAATACATTGACCAGACTTATTTGAAATCAGTGAAGAGCTCCTACCCTGGAGTATGCCTCAACTGTTGCTTTCAGTTGGGGAAAACTTCTGCTTGCCAGAACCATATTAAAGCAAGATTCATCAGTCCCAAGTCTTCCTTCACCTGCTTGGTACAGACGCTGAGCATCTTCTTGAGCTTTTTGATAATCCACAGTTTGATTCTCATCACGATTACCCTTAATGCAAAAACAGATTTCAAATGAAATTTCACAGAGAAAGCTATGATTTAACTGCTTGCAGTGTATACAGACCCCAAGCATGTATCTTCAAAGTTTGAAGCAGAAATAGTTTGAAATACATCACATTGCTTTAAAACCTCTCTTTTTAATATTCTTTATAGGAAACAAATACAAAAGTGGCTCAGAACCCTATCTTTAGGACATGCTTTAAACTGATACACTGACTCAGATAACTTCACCCCTACAAACCATCTCGTAGTTCTAATTAAGTACTGTACTTAATTCTCTATTTTACTTAATAATGTAAGCTTTCTCTTGATTTGTTTGTTTCTAGGCTTCAAGTTGCAAAGACTCTTCCCAAACGAACTAATGAATTATCTTACTGAATATGCACACCTGAAATATCTCAGGTTTCCCTCCTATTTTATTTAGTTGCCTATTTCAAGTAAGAATGTCTTCAGAAAGCACTTACTACACTTGTGTCAGTAGGGCTTCTATGACATTTTATGTGCTTTGGTGGTTGTTTTGGCATTTTGCTGCCCAGTGCATGGATGGATACTGCTAAACATACTGGCTGAGTAGGCTGAATACATTCTCTCCAATACTGTTGTATCTATAGAGGTTAATATACTACTTAAATGATGTGGTTGTCAGTTATTGTAAACTACTGGATTTATCAAAATAAAAACTAGCAGCATGAGCTTCTCCAGGCTTGCTTTCTTGTGGATTTTGACTTTTAACCAAATATCTAGAGTATAGCTGATCTCTCACAAAGGAAGAAGCCAATGAGATAGTGAAGTGTAAAAGAAATTCTTAACAGAAATCAGCAAATGGAGAAAATTTGCCAGAGAAATGTGGGAAGTTGCATTAGTTACGTATTTCTTCCTAAATGTGAGTAATTTCAAGTTACTATTCTTCAAAACAAAATGAGCCCTAGTAAATGATATGGGATAAACCAGCTCCAGTGGTCATGTGAGTTCAACAGCAGCACCCCCTAATTCTGGTGATGTAAAGGGAAGGCAGGCTGTGGAGTGGGGGCAGGGGGGAGGTTTTGCCCTGTGGCAGGTCTTACCTTGTTTTAGGGATTCTCACAGGCATTCTACATACCACAGAGGCTTTCCAATCAGCTTTACAGTTTATATGCAAAAAATAAAAAGCATCTTGCTCTAACAGCAGTGTAGAGCACTGTTTTAGGAAACCGCTTGGTTGCATCTGCACAGTATTTCCACGTAAGTTCTGGTATTAATTGAGGGTGCTAAATTACATCACATAATTCATCATGGATTTATAGATAAGAAGTATCTCTTGAGGAGGGACTGAAGTGTCATATTTTAGGGGATAAATTAATGACCATGGGCTAATTGCTTAAAAACCTCTTAGCCTCTTGCTAAGCACACAGGCTATTTGTGGAGCCATTATGAATAAACACATCAGACTGTACACTGTTACCTTACTTTAAAAAAAAAAATTAAAGCTCACTTGGCACATAGATATAAGTAATCGTTCAAAGTGTCCTGAAGTGTCTGATCTGATGTCTTGTTCAATGTCCCTTCCAAATTCTGATTTATAGCAGTTCACTATTTCGCGAATTTCCTGGTTTGTCCTTGTGCAAAGGATCTCAATCAACACGCTCTCCTGAGTGCCTGCTCCCTGTAGGCAGAGAAAACAAAGGCATAACCACAGAGTACTACCTATGCAGTTTTCTTCAACACTGAAATAAGGCAGTCATCAGGCATTTCAAAACTTAACACAATCTAGATTGTAAGAACAGTATCCCTACAGTGTGAATGTACCAAGTGTACTGTATACTTAAAATGGAATGAAGATTCCTCAAACATACCATTCTGCATCAATTCAGAGAAACACCCCAAAACCATACTTCCACATCAGTGACACTGGCCAAAGTTAAATGGAAAATGGTTAAGGAAGGAAATTCTTTGGCAACCTTAATCTGGAAATTTACCGAAGGAAGGAAGAGCCTTATGGTAATCATTAAAGGGACACTTGTAAATTCTGTTTTGGTCAGTACACAAGTGTATTCCCTACCCAAATGTGGCTGCTTCCACAATGTGGAACTCTTTATAGATGCTTCCCTCTCCCCAGAATAAAAATTAATTGTGATTTCTGTGTACAGGAGGATCTTACTGGCATGAGCATCTCAAATCAGGGAAGGATTAGATAGGAGAAGAGATGTATATGAGACTTCAAGGTAATCTTACATTATGAATTTTTCAAAATGTTTGAGTGGCTATTCCCCATTAAAAGCAGATGTTCATTTCAGCTCCATGTTCTCCAGAAAGTGTACATTCGTAAATGGGTTGAGTTACTCATTTCCACTATCAGCCACCTGCTAGCTGCTGCAGCTCAAACAAGACATTCCAGTAAACTGAATGTACCAGTTTACCTGAGTTAGGAGGTTAAACCAACTAGCTCACCTAGTCTCTAAATGCTGTCAAAATATTTCAACAGATACATCCATCACCTGACTTTAAGAAATTATTTTTTCATTTTCTTTTTTGGGGAAAAAAGGCATAATCCAAAAATACCTTTCAGTAACAAAGGTTTGTTCCTAGTAAGAAAAGGCATGTACCTTTAGTTTAAACAGTGGTTACGGTTTTAACAGCACCCTGGCCCTTTCTAGGTTCTAGCAAAAATTAAGGCCAAGTGAGAGAGAACAAGGTTCTGTCCTGCAGCATTTCCTCCTCTACTGAATGGACATCTGGCTGAATTGGCTAATCCTGCAGAAATAGTCTGGAACTGGGGGACGCAGCAGAAAAGAATTTTAAGCCCTGCAAGTCCAGGATTTGTTTGACACTAGCAGATTTTTCAACAATGCTGGGACCAGGTATTCTTAGATGAGTATTTTAAGATAATTTTAAACTGTTTCCTTCACAGGAATACCGTACCTTCATCGCATGACGTAAACTCCAGGCATCATAGTAGGTACTAGGCATGAAGAGGGCTAGAATCAATTCTTCCACATTACCACTTAACTCAGACTTCAGATCTTTAATTAAATCCTGTTCAATTAGAAGCAGAAAAAGGGCTCTGCAGAGTGTTAGGCATACATAAATTATATACTGAAGAAAGATCAAACTAGAACTTACTTTTATTTCTTATTTCTACCTTTCTACCTTTGTGCTGTTTTTCCTGTAAAGCTTTGTTTTATTTCTTACTAAGAACTTCCCTCTGTCCAAATCTTTGACAGCTCAGCTCTTCTCCATCATCTCCTCACTAATCCACAGCTACAAAATTTCACTCTAGGTTGCAAAAATGATAGGGAAGAAATTAAATTAACCTGGAATTTTATTTACTATCCAATCTTCAATCATTTCTCAGTTTCTTGGGAAGAAGAAGATTTCAGTGCTGGTTTGTGTGCAAAAAAGTGGTAGTTTCAGTCACTAACACAAAGGCAGTTTAAGCTTGATTATTTTCTGTCAAGCATTAGAGAAGCTTCTTGTGTGGTCAGGGACAGAGACAGCCTCCAGCCTTCCCCCACCCCTCCTTCTGCCAGGTGTCAGGACAGCCCTATGTCAAATACCAGATGTCTCCCAATACATATGGAATATAACCAAAAGAAGTGCATTTAAAAAATGCCCAAATCATTCCCCAGGACTAAAATGCAACCAGGCAATTAAAGCAGCAGCTGAAAGTTTGGTTTGTTTCCCAATTCAAAGAGCTAGTGAACGTACCTTGCCATACATAGTCTTGAAAGCTGCCTTGATTTTTTGCCTTTGATCATTGGAGCGGTTAGCAACAACGTTTATGATGGCCTGCTCATCGGTTCCTTGGAAACAGAAGGGCAATGTCATGTAAGAATGCAATATAGTCCCTCCAAAACTGTGCATTTTATACTGTTGCATTTGGGCATAATTACATAATAAGAGGCTGCTATTTAAGTCCATCAAATGTTCTAAGTAACTTCTTCTACTAAATAGCCCAGGCTATCTTGAAAATGTAACTTTTGAAAAGCTTGTTGGGGGGAAATACAGTTAAATAAACACTGAAGAAAACAAAACAGCATTAAGAAATTAGATCAACAGGAACTAAAGCTTCTATTGCTTCCTTACCAAAACCCTTCATAGCTTTACGGAGAATTTCTGCATCCCTTCCAGCATCGAAGTTTGGAGCAGCTTGAATTGTACCCTGGGTATACTGAACCACTGCAGCAGGCTGAAAGTAAGAGTCACATATAACTAGATATCTACACAATAAAAATTCAAATTAAAATCACAACTCTGCAATCAGTTCTGTCACAAACTCTGTCAATTTGTTGTCTATTTCTTCCTCTAACACAGAATCAGGGCAGTATTACTCTGAGGGTAGATGGAAACCCTTGATACAGAACACAATCTAAACCTTTGGAAATCAGCTGTAAAAACATTAAAACTACAGAAGCCACATAAGAATAATTATAGAAGAGAAAACGGCACATACCGGACCAGGCATTGGGGATGGTACTTGTCCACCAGGAAATCCTAGTGAAAATAAAGAACAAGGTAGGAGAAATTAATTGGGTTTCCTCTCATTATGGAAATACCATCTAATCTGAATATAAAGCCAGACCTACCACTGCACACAACCTGTTTCCTAATGATACTTACCACAATCAGTAACTGAATTTCTTCCCTTGGGGATAAAGGGAAGAAGCAATGACAGATGCATTTTGGTACATACACTAGCAAGGAAATTCTAAAAATACTAAACTTAGTGCTGTGGGAACTGGAAGGATCTCTCCTTATGAAATTCTGCTATTTTCGACAGAAGCCAAGATAGCCCAAACAAATGAAGAATGTGTGCTCCATGTTCTCTTTAAAAGCTGTTATATACACTTTAAAATGCCCAGCATGTAAACAATAAATATTCAGAATTCATTACTGCAAAAAATATTAAAGGAATCTCATTTTGTGATCAAAAACACTGGTAATACAAAAGCTAAAATTATTTTTTGGTACTGGAATTTTATTTTTATTCATAATATGTATGCACATTCCTTTTCATTTTGATAGCAACTTAGTACCAGAGTTAACAGAGAAATCGTAAAACAAAAAGGTTTTGCTGCTTTGAATTTCTTTAAAACACAACTGATACATTCCAGGACAAAAATAATCTCTGTAGTAACTGACCACTCAAAAAATTACAAACACTGCACTGCTTTTAAGCAAATGTGTGCATTCTCCTTTCCTCTTTCTCCAGTGTGTCAGGAATCACTGTAAACACACAGATCTGAGAAATGCAATTGAGATTAACAGAACTGCTAGATACTCATTGAATGTGGACTCTGGATTTCACAGTTCTCCTCAGATACTTTCAGCTTGAAAAAGGGTAAGCACCTAAACCACAGCATCATGGCCATTATTCAGGGACAGCCATCCCTTTTGGATGTAGCACCTACAGAGCTGGTTCTCATCTGCCCTCCGGTGGCCTGGTCAAAAAAGGTGGCAGGAGGTGCACAGCATACAAATCTCAACAGCTACAAGTAACAAAGGTAAGGGCTTAATTTGTTACTACCTATCCTGGGGTCTCTTGGTTTTATCCTTGGATGCTTTAAGTTTCATATATATAACATACCTGGAATTTGTGCTGGTCCACCTCCAGCATAGCTTTGGGCAGGAGGCTGCTGTGGATAGCCACCAAAGCCAGGCCCAGTGGCAGGCACGCCAAAGCCAGGGCCTGGAGGAGCCAGGGAAAAAAAAAAAAAAAAGTCAGACTTTAGCATACTCAGTATTTTGTATTTGACTTCTTGACAAAACAGGAGCCAGGTTATTGAGCAGAGCTATGTAAGAGACCACTTTCTCTATGTCTGTGCAGTGACCCAGAACCACCAAGGCTCTGCCATCAGCATGCAGGTATTTACTGCTGGATGGCAACCTGGCTGCCTGCCTGCTGCTGCCTGAACAAAGCTGCTTTTCTCTACTATTTCTAACGAGCACAGGGAATGGTTACACTGGAAATCACTCCTGACTGGTACTCTAACAAAGGATCTTACCTCCAGGATAAGGTGGCATTCCTCCAGCCTGGGCAGGGTACCCTGAAGCAGGGTAGCCCCCTGGGGCAGGATATCCTGCTGCCCCTGGAAACCCAGCATTTGGTGGTGCTGCAGGATAGGTCCCTCCTCCTGATGGAGGGAATCCTCCAGGAACAGCAGGATAGGTGTACTGACCAGCTGGTGGATAGGCAGACTCCTGTCCTGTCGGCTGAAACACAAAAATGGGATGTCTGTATGCCTGTTAACAGCACATTAGAGTAAACACTCCCAAGCTGCCAAAATGTCCACATGTTTAATAGCAACGTGAATTATATAATTAGCTGTAGGGCTTGAAGCAGCAGCAGCAGAATTCCTGAAGCCTGGATGGGGTCTTCCTGGTTGGGTGTTCTGATGCATCTCCTATGTTGACACAGAATCAGAGAGTGCTGCAGGGTGGAAGTCACCTCTGGATGGCCCATGATCCCATCCACCCTCAAAGCAGGGCCAGCTTTGGAGGTGGGTGAGCTCATGCAAGGCCTGATACTCAAGTTTTCAGTACATACATGGAATGGCAAATTAACAGGCTCTCTGGGACCCCATTCCAGTGTTTGACTACTCTTCCAGAGAAAAATGTTTACCTCAAACCAAATTGCAAATGCAACCTGTATTTGTTAGCTGCCCTTTCACTGAACCTCTGACAAGAGTTGACTCCAATGTCTCTATTGTTCCTTCTCACCCAGCAGAAGACTGAACAGATCTGTGCTTAGGCTGCTCTTCCAGGCAAGCAGCCTTCCCTGGACATGCTCCTCTTTGTCTATGTCTTTGTTGTGCTGGGAGGCCACAACCAGACACAGTATTGCAGAGGTGCTCTTGCTAAAGCCTGGCGTGTCATTAGCCTTCCTCCCTGAGGACTCAGCCACTGGAACTTCTGGTCCTTTACTGGAAAGCTGCTCTTTCTATTCCACACAAGGAGGAGGTGAGCTCAGCTCAGCTTGCTCTCTATGAAGCATTAGGAGTTCCCTTTTAACTTCCTGCTAAAAGACTTTTAAGAGCATAGTAACATTGAAACTTCTGCCTCTCTTGCATAAACAGTATTTCCAAATGTTAGAGGGTAAAAACTTTTGGGTTTTTTTCCCCATTTCCTTTGGAATCCAGGTTATAAAGCATGGACATTCAATGACTAAATGTGGATCACTGAGTCAGACTGAACACCTATTACAGCAGGTTTTAAATAAAAAGAACAAGTCCAACAGTTACATATTTGTTTTGCTACATGTGTGATTTACCAGCCATAGCACAAAGATTGCTATTAGCATTAAGATACATTAGAAATATTTACTTGAATGATCTGGATCTCTAAGGGAAAGGCCTGTAAAGTAGAAGTCATTATACATGAGCTTAGAAATCAGGCATTCAAAATCAGCTTCATAATGAAGCATAATGGATGGACCCATTACTCACTTGCTGGGAATCATCTTTACTGACTAGCTTTAGAAATACAAATCACACATTATGTACAGTACACATTCATTCTTGACCCCAGAACACAGAAATAAAGTGCAGAGCAGCAAAGCCTAGCTCAAATGTTCTCTTCAGGTTTGGCTGCCCCAAGATTTCTACCCCCAAATTCCTGTTCCCAGGCTATATAATATTCTTTTCCCCACAGGTACAGTCTAACATTTCTCTGCCTGACTCAACAAAAAGATTTATAAATCCAAAATTAAGATCCTCAACAGCTCTGCTCAGAGTACTACCAGTGCTGCAGAAAAAATGCTTTTTGAATTGGTTATCACATTGAGCATCATCAATGAGACCAAGAAATCATTGATAACAAGTCTAAAAGGTCTTTAATTCATTGAAGCTGGCTATTTTTTAGATGCTAGCTAAGAAAAAAATGTATTTTTAGATCTAGTTAAAAATAAACTATAGGGTAAAATAAAATCATGAAGGCTCAGAAGAACCTTGAGAGAAGGAAAGAAATTCTGGAGTTAATAGTCTTGTTTCTAACATGTTTGTCTTTAATTTGACTGACTTTAGTGTTTCAGAAGAAGTAAGGGTAGATTGTAAAGCAAAATCATCAGAGAATTTATTGCATGTGTTTATACGTATATATTTATATCTTGCACATATTTATAGCTTTCCAGTATCTTAAAGGCATTCAGGCTGAAATCCATGCTTAAGTCTGGCTCTGTACTAACAGAATACAGGTAAAATTCCCACAATTACAGCATGACAAGTGCCATGATCAGTGCCATAGAAGCACAGAGCTGAATCTAGCTTTGAAAAATATTGCAGGCATATAAAAGACTGCAGTATCAGCCATACCTGATACATTTCAGCCTTCCATTAAGTTTCCTTCAAATTTTTAGTCCATTGAGTTGTGAGCTGAAGGTGGAACAGTCCAGTGGATAGGGCAGTAAAGATACAGTGTCCTCCCCTCAGAAAAATATTTGCTTGGTGTTACATGAAAGCTGGGCTATTTGAGTGAAGTGTTCCAAGCTCTTCCTGATAGCTGTGCCACTGAAGCTTGTTCAACATCTCTGGAAATCCTGGGATAAGGCTATGTGACTATTTGGTACAAATTGGTTCAGAGATTACCTCTAACCCTACATGTAAAGGGCCTCCTATTTACAGAAAAAACTTAAAAAAAAAAGAAAAAGACTTGTTGAGATGGGACAGCTGTATTTAAAAAAAAACAAACTCAGGAGAAAAAGATAAAACAAGACCAAAGACCTTCCTGGAACAATGGGCGTCATTAAGAAAACTAAGTTTCCTTCTTGGAGTTGTTGTGTGACAGCTGTAAAGTCATCCTCAGAGATATACAGATGAAAACAAAGACTACAACCACTAAAGAACAGAGTACATGAACTGACAGCTACTATTTACAGATATATGGAGCACAATAAGGAGCGGCATTCACAGAATACAGGAGCATTAGGAATGCAACACATTCAAGAGCCATACTTACAGGATAACCTGGGAAAGCAGGGTAGCCATCAGAAGGGGGATAACCTGGGTATGACATTCTGGAGAAGGGAAACAAAAAAGGTATTTTCACCATGAAGCACTATATATGAGATTGTAGTAGGTATTTGCATGCTAATTACCTGTTAAATCACTTGAATAATCTGCTGTTAACCCGCAAAACTTTTCCCTCTTTTTCTCTCCTACATCTGAATCAGAATTCATAAGGGAAGCATCTTCAACTTCGTAATTAACTATCACTCTTATTTAGGGTCAGACAGACATTTAAGCATGGTAAGAGGCTCAAGCCTCCAGAAAGCTCTGAAATACTGGATACGCTTTGAGGTGCCAGCAGGAGGGAGCTGAACCCTTTGCCAGGACAGAAACCGTGCAGGTTTCTGGACTGTACCAAGCTCTTGTATCCATCGTCCTGCACTGCTGTGCTCACAGGGGCAGTTCCTGGGAGAAGAACAGTACCCTAGGTATTCCACGTAAAATGGTAATTTGGTAAGAACAGGTGCAATCCCTCAGCATTACTTCATTTGTGGAGCAAATTTCTATTTCCTGACAGTAACTGTTTATTTTAGTCACATTTTTAACAGAGGGACCTGGGAAGAGGTAGAGCTCATCCCATCCTGCATGTTGCCAATCAGTTGGGCAGGGAGATTCGAGACCATCAGCCAGGTTATGAAACTTTTAATGACAGGGGAAAAAATGGACTTTAAATTTGGCATAAGCATCCCGAGTTGAACGGCAGCTCTGACATAACTACTTTTATAACCACGACAACAACAGATTTTTCCGTCAGGCTGTCGTTTGTCCTCGCTGTCCCCGGCCGGGCACGGGGCGGGTTAAACCGGGGGCCGGGTGTGAGTCAGCTGCGGCACTGAACCACGGTAAAACATCAGCGGGCGCGCCGCGCTCCGTGTGCTGGGCGGGAGCTCAGCCGGTAAACACGGAGGAAGAAGTGTTCCCTCTGCGGCTGCTCCGCCTCAGCTCCAGCGGGACCCCCGGCCGGGACCCCCGGCCCGGCCCCGCGGGGCACCGGGAGGGCGCACGGCCCGAGCCCTCCCCGCGCCCCCGCCGGCACCACCCCCGCCCGCCGCCTCTAAGGGCCCCGCCCGCCGCTGCCCCGCTCCGGGCAGGGGCATCGCCCAAGGCTTCTCTCGCTCCCCCAGCCGCGGGCTTCCGAATCCTCCGGCGGATCCTGCGGCGAGGTGGAGCTGCGGACGGAGACAAGTATCCCGGTGTCCCGGTACCTACTTCTCCCGAGACTACCCGAGCTCGATCTCGCTCCGCAGCGCCAGGGCAGCCCCGCCGGGGTGCGGCTCCCCGGGACAAACGGCACTCGCTCGGCCGGACACCTGCCGAGCCCCGAGCCGGGGCGGCCGCAGCTCCAGGAGCGCTGCGCGGGGCTCCGTCCAGTACGGCCGCACCCGGGGCTGGGGCCGAGCCCCCCGAGCGATGCGTGAGCGGGGCCGGGGCTGCGGCCGAGCCCCCGGGCGGTGCGAGCGGGGCTGGGGCGAGGGGCACGCGAATCGCGGCCGGCCGGCTCCTCCCTCCCCCGCAAGCCGCCTCGCCTCACCTGAGGGGAACTTGCGGAGCCTCCGGCCTCTCTCCGCAGCCACACCGCAAAATGGAGCCTGGGCGGCCGGCGGTGCCCGCCCCGCCCCCGGCACCGAGCCCGCCCCGCCCGGCCCACGGACCGCGCTCCCCGCGGGCAGGGGCACCGCACCCGGGGCCGGCAGTGACGGCCGGGCCAACACTGAGCCCTTTGCTGTCCGTGCGGGCTCGCCCGTGTCGCCGAAGGAAAGCTGGGAGGTGCCCGGTTGTCCCTCGGGACGGACGAGAGGTAAGCTCACGGGCTCGAGTGTCACCAACGCAGAGCCACTGGCCAGTGGAGCTGTGTCACACTGGAAGCTATCCCGGAGATGCTCTCCCACGGGAGTCCTTTGCCACCCGCTAGAAAAGGGAGAGGAAAGTCCACACTGCAGTTTCCCAATAGCACCTGTGCAATGGGGTTCAGCCCTAATGCGTGTAGTTTTAAGTCAAGTCTGTAATCCAGTAACACATGAGTCTTTAGATCAAGATCGTTGTTCAGTAGCTGCCAGGGACTCCATCAAGTCACCCAGGCCACCAGAACTGCATGTAACAGGTAAAGAATATAAAAAACCTAACTGCATGGAGCTGGAGGAGCTGCTCCTTTTGCTGTAGTTACTGAAGACCAGGATCTAGGTCCCAAAAGGACATAAAGGTAAGATTGACTGACTACTACATGCATTTTTCCACAAAGAAATCTTAATTATAGTTATTTGTATGTAATTGTGGGGAGTGCGCTTACTGCTTTGTTTCTGTCTGTTGTAATGTTTATTCATATTATACTTTGAATAGACATTGCACACACGTAGTCCTTTCTTTACTTGATGTTAATTATTCATAAGACATTCTGACAAACAAGATACAATTTATGCAAGATTCACCTATGATATTATGCACCAGCTACTTGAGGTTATTAACAAATCCCCTTTTTTGTTTATGGCAAACATGTTAGCAGTTTAGAGACCATTCCAATGCAAACGGCTTTGGCTCTTTCTTGTTACCTGGTGCAGCACTTCAGCTCGAGATGAAATAACAACCACTGTTCTATTTGTCCATAAAACAGCGTGAAGTGCAGGCAGCAGAAAATAGGTGGGTAATAATTTACCATGCTTGCTTGCTTCAAATGAAGAACACCTAAAGCCACATGAATCTAATACATTACCTATCCAGGAAAATTGGGCTTGTTCTCTCTTGTTTGCCCAGAACACATCAGGAGTGGCGTTAAGAATTTAATCCTCACAGCATTCTTCAGCTGACACTCCGAGTGCATGTCTACTTTATTTTGCCTGTTAAGCACATTTCTTTCAGGACAGGTATATATTTTAATCCTTGTTTCCATGAGAACCAAGTACATTTATAAAATACACAATTATTTATTTTTTTCATTTAGTGGACTGTTTTGATTTGAGATTCTCAAGAAAATAACAGTTTGTTTTAAAACAAATTCCTTTTTGTGTAAAAGGAAGAGAACATTTTAACAAAATTACATGTGTCTGAAGAATCTGTTAAATGCATTTAACTTTTATGTATCAACGAGAATGTTTGGAATTACTTTTTTAAAGCATGCAATGGAACCATTGTGGTCATCTAATTTCACTCTGTATTTAGAGAAATCTCTTGGCTTGTTATTACACCTAGAGCCCACATATTTTAGAAAGTTTCTAAACCCTATGCAGAGTCAAGGCAGCTTCTCGATATTAGAAAATTCAAGTTTAGTGGCAAGACAAACTTTTGTTCTTCTCTTTTGTAATATTCTTGCATCTGATCCTGAGACATGGTACTGGACAGAATTGTGGTCTGGAGTGACTTGGCTCCACTACATAGTGGTGCTGAGTGCTGTCAAAAGAGCTGAAACAAAACTTTTTTCCATAGGAAATTTTTGTTGATGATGTACGTGGCTGAAGCATTGCTGCTTCTCTGTTCTTTGTATCCTGACTAGAACATTATTTCCCACTTAACTTTTGTTGTTCTACTCCAGCCCATATAGTTAAATTCAAAACAAAACCTTTCCCCAGGTTTGTTCTAAGAACTGATCAGCTTTGAACGATAGGTCAAAGTGTAACAAGCCCACAGGATACTGCAATGGTCCAAGTCTACACAATGTACTAAAAATACTTCTCCTGTTAGACAGCCTTGTGACTGCAGTTATTAAAATGCAGTCCCAGTAGGCTTTGAGTGAACCCTTCCCTGTGTGCAGGGAGCAGAGCGAGCTCAGCTCACTCCAGGAGGAGCCCTGTGTTTGGTGAGCTGCTCTAGGGAGTCACTGCCCCGTGAGTCACGGTAGTGCTCCACCCGCCGTGCTCTGAGCATCGGGGTTTCACACAACTCTTACAACTGAGATGCCAGCCAGTGTCTAGCTCTATTGTGAGGAAAGCCGATTGAAGCTTCACCCTTACTCAAAGCACAGAACAGTAGCTTGTTCTGCTTAACTGCTCTGGAAGGGTTGTGTGTCTAAGCTTTTCTTATCAGCCTTTCAAGCCTTAGGATTAAACCCATGAACTTCAGGTCCAGGTGGCAGATGTCCACAGCTTCACAAGTTTACACCCCAAACCACTGCCTCCTCTTGTAGATATAGAAGGAGAGATTACAGATAACCTTGCCCCTGACAAGTCACAGTTGTACTAATTACCAAAAAAGAGGAATAGCCTTGCCTTTAAAGGGTTACAGCTGTGACTAATAAAGGTAAGTGTGGCAAAAGGGGTGGGTTGGCTAGTCAGGGAGGGGCTTGGAGGCAGAGGAGCCCAGAGGAAGGAAGGCTCCAGAGACACCCAAGGAAGAGTTGCTGCTATAAAAGATCTGCTACGTGGTCAGGCTGGATCAGATGGAGTTAGCACCTGCTGTTGGAGCCTGCAGTCATAGCTGAGCTAGGTAAAGCCTGTGTTCAGATTCTGCAAGCCAACACTTGCAGGCATAGTCTAGCAGGAAATAGCCAGCAGTCAGATCTGCAGTTGGAGCTTGCTGTAGTCAGTCAGGATGGCAAAGCTGTAAAGAATAATAAACCAGGACCCTTTTCACTTGTTGAATGAGAGTCTCTCTTAGCTCATTT